TTGCTTGAAGTGGACGATCTTTTCGAGCGGCTTGACGCAGCCGGAACGGAATTAGACAAAGACACGAAGATTTGTATGTTTTTGCGAAGCCTTCCTCCATCGTTCGACAATCTTGTTACGGCTCTCGACAGTCGATCAGATGATGACATTTCGTTGGATGTCGTCAAATCCAGGCTGATGGACGAGTACCATCGGCGGCTGGAACGGGAAGGTGGTAGTGGTAGTGCCTCGAAAAGTGAGAAAGCGATGCGTTCCGCGGAAAGTGTTTATGGCGAGAAGCGAGTGTGCCACTTCTGTAAGAAGCCCGGCCATATCCGGCGCAACTGTAGAAAACTGTTGGCGTCGAAGAAAGACAGTGAAAGTGCACCGAGATACAGAAGAGAAGAAAAAGAAAGTGCTAAAGCGAAGGCCGCCCACGGTGATAACAAATATGTTGCGTTCACTGTTGGGAACAAAAATGCGTGCTGGATCATCGACAGCGGTGCGAGTGCGCATATGACGAACGACCGCTCGTTCTTCACGTCGCTGAAGGAGTTCGCTGGTGGATGGATCACCTTGGCGGATGGGAAGAAAACGCAGATCCAAGGTGAAGGCTGTGGTGTTCTCTACGGTGTAGACGGTGAAGACGATGTAATGAAGATATACATAAGTGAAGTGAAGTTTGTGCCCGGTCTGTCGATCAGTTTGATTTCAGTTGCTAAGCTGGCACAGAAGAAATTGAACGTGAGTTTCGACGACGAAAAGTGCAGGATCGTGGATCCAAAGGGAGTCGTTGTGGCATCTGGTAGTCGTTACGGAGGCCTGTACCGACTGAGGCTTGCGGAGACTTCACTCAAGGTAACCACCGAACAGCATCGGGAGAACTGTCAGCACCAGTGGCATCGGCGCTTCGGCCACCGTGATTGGGCTGCGACAGAGCGCATTGTGAAGGAGAACCTTGCAATAGGTATGAAGGTAAGCGATTGTGGTTTGAGAATTACATGTGAATGTTGTATGGAGGGGAAATTAGCTCGGCCTCCCTTTCCTGCCGTCACCGAGCGGAAATCGACTGGAATCCTGGACATCGTGCACACCGACCTGTGTGGCCCGATGAACACCGCCACCCCGAGCGGCAACCGATATGTAATGAACATCATCGATGACTACAGTCGATTTACGGTGACGTACCTCCTGAAGAACAAGTGGGAAGCAGCTGAGAGCATCAAGGAGTATGTTCGATGGGTTGAAACCCTGCACGGCCGGAAGCCGAAGGTTATCCGCTCTGATGGAGGCGGAGAATTCGACAACAATCAGCTGCGAAACTTCTACCGCGTGGAAGGGATCAAACCACAATTCACCACCCCCTATTCGCCACAACAGAACGGCGTGGCTGAGCGTAAAAACAGGTCACTCACCGAGATGGCCACCTGTATGCTACTCGACTCTGGCCTTGAGAAGCGCTTCTGGGGTGAGGTGACGCTTACCGCAACCTATTTGCAGAACCGTCTACCGTCCAGATCCGTCCAGAAAACGCCATACGAGCTGTGGTGGAATCGTAAGCCCGAAGTAGGTCACCTGAAAGTGTTTGGCAGCGATGCTTTCGTACACATTCCAGAGGCGAAGCGAGGGAAAATGGAAGGCAAGGCGCGAAAGCTTACGTTTGTGGGCTACTCTATGGAGCATAAAGGTTACCGTTTCGTAGACCATGAGACGGATCGGATAACTGTGAGCCGAGACGCCAGGTTCATCGAGCTTCCCTAATAAAAATTGTATGGTTAATTTGCTTAACGACGTGTTCTGGGTATCATCCAAACCATTTGTGGAATAGTTCAATGATTTGGGTTATCGTTCGTTTATGGTTATTTTTTATTAGGGTTGGCAATGGCACGATTTCAGTGGAGTGTCCTGCATCCAGTGGTCCTGAGGAGAACGACGAGGATGAAATCAAGCTGCTGCCTTTCAAGGAGAAGAAGGACAAAAGCGATGCGGAGTCAGCTGATAGTGAGGAATTCTACGAAGCTGATGAAGAAAATGGAGATGTTCCAGCTACGTCACGCCGATCGAGTCGGCAGAACCGTGGAGCAGTGCCAAAGCGTTTTGATGACTATGTGTTGGATTACGCCGTAGGTGTCGCGGCATGTGCAGTAGAAGAACCTTCAAACTTCCGAGAAGCTGTGAAGATACCCGAATGGCGGAGTGCGATGGAGGATGAGCTTGCCTCTCATCGACGTAATGAGACCTGGGAGCTTGTTCCACCTCCCCAAGGACGCAAGATAGTGGGGTCAAAGTGGGTGTTCAAGGTCAAACGCAACGAGCAGGATGAAGTCGTGAAATACAAAGCCTTATCGAAGCGAGGATTCAAACCATCAGGCGCTGATCCGTGCCTGTATGTGAAGACTGTAGGTACAATTCGAGTGTTCCTACTTGTTTATGTTGACGACATGTTGATTGGATCAACTGACGAACGAGAAGTCAAACGACTATTCGATTCTCTGAAGGAAGAGTTCGAACTCACATGCCTTGGTGAAGTTCGACACTTTCTCGGAATGGAGGTGCAGCGAAAAGATGGAGTGTACAGGATTCGTTTGCAGAACTACATCGAGAATATGGTTGCAAAGTTTGGGATGGAGCATGCCAAGACGGCGAAGTCACCCATGGAGCCTGGGTTTTTGAAAACAGACGATTCAGGTGAAGCTTTCGAAGATTCATCGAAATATCGGAGTCTTGTAGGTGGACTGTTATACATTGCTGTCAACGCTCGTCCAGACATCGCAGCCTGCACTGAAATCCTCGGACGCAAGTTCAGCGCTCCGGGAGAAGCAGATTGGAACGCCGCGAAACGAGTGCTCCGATACTTGAAGACGACGGCCGCTTACAGTCTACAACTAGGAGGAGAACCAGAACAAGCGCTGATCGGCTATGCTGATTCCGATTGGGCTGGAGACGTCGGCAGCCGAAAGTCGACATCCGGATTTGTGTTCTCGTATGCAGGTGGAGTAATCTCGTGGGCCAGCCGCCGCCAGACTTCTGTCACTCTCTCGTCTATGGAGGCGGAGTACGTGGCACTCAGCGAAGCCTGTCAAGAGACTGTATGGTTGAGGCAGCTTCTACGCGATTTAGGAGAAGAGCAAAAGTGTTCAACGGTGATGCACGAAGACAATCAGGGTTGCATCGCGTTCGTGAAGACTGAACGTTCGAGCCGACGCTCGAAGCATATCGATACGAAAGAAAACTTCGTAAAGGATCTGTGTGAGAAGAAGGAGATTAAGTTGGTCTACTGTCCGACCGATCAAATGCTTGCGGATGTTTTGACGAAACCCCTTGGACCAATGAAGCACCAGATGTTCTGTGATATGTTGGGGCTCGGAAGTATCAGTGAAGCGGCTGATCATTGAGGAGGAGTGTGGAGAAATACAATGTTCACCTTTATCCATTCACCTTGGTAGTCACACCCAGTCCGAACCCCCTGCTATGCTGTCGATCCCTCGCGCAGCAGATGTGTGTGTGTCAACAAAGGTAATCATTCTCCGATCGAACAATCGACCGTCAAGTACATTTTTTACCACTTTTATATTCGTGATCTGTAATATAGTTTACAATCTGTGTAACCGCGAGTGCATTTTATTTTTACATCCGATTCCCTACGCTGACTCTCCACTGTATAATTGATACTTGCCGTCAAAAGGTACTTCGAACTACCATACCCCGGGAGGCTGCAAAGTTCACGCATCGTTGGCCGTTGTCGTTCGATACGGCATGCAGGCTGTTTGGCCCGATTGCCGGTCTATACATTGCCTCCCGTCCTACCTGAGCGTTCATGTCGCCGATGACGATTTTGACGTCCCGTTGTGAACAGCCGTCGTACACCTGCTCCAGCTGCGCATAGAACGCTTCTTTCTCGTCGTCGGGTCTCCCTTCGTGTGGGCAGTGCACGTTGATGATGCTGTAGTTGAAGAAACGGCCCTTAATCCTCAACTTGCACATCCTCGCGTTGATCGGCTGCCAACCAATCACGCGTTGGCGCATCTTACCCAGCACTACAAAGCTGGTTCCCAGCTCTGGTAGAAAGTAGCCGCTCGATGCCCGCTTTTCCATACCTTTTGTCCCGTCCAGCAAAGTTCCTGCAGTGCTACGACTTGGAAGTTACGTGGTTGAAGTTCGTCATAGATTAACCTATCGCAGCCCAGGAAGCCGAGCAATTTGCAGTTTCATGTTCCGAGTTTCCAATCGTAGTCCTTATTTCGTCGCGTAGGTCTGTGCCGATTGTTCCGATCCGTATTTCTTTCTTCGGTATTTACAACTTTGTTTTTTTTTCAGGGCGGCTTGTTGGGCCTGCTAGAATAGGATACGTTAATCGTTTGGTTGGGACCAATAGGCTAGTCAAGTAGTGAGCCAATTTCAAATCGATAGTTTCGTACTAGTCGCTGCATAAATGGAGAAATTACTGTATCTTACACGATTAATCGTTCTGATTGTTCCATAGAAGCGTCCGTTTATAAATACAAACATAAGTTGAAACGTTGAAATGAGATTATGGAATAGATCTAGGTCATTCGTTACGAGCTCATTTTTCGAATATTATGACCCGCTCTATATGAAAAACGTGACAAAAGGGGGGAGCGGGGAAATTGTTTCCCCAATTTGGCGGGACAAATTTAAAGCATGGCCCCTTATAAACGAAACATAAACATACAAATCTGTAGAATGGACTTCCTAGCAATCAGCACAGACCTAAATATAAAAAAAAAAACAAAGAAATTACTAGTAAAGACTGATAACGGCTGGTGTGACTGCACGTGCTAAAGAAATCTCATGTTGTTGGTACTATAACAACAACAAAAAATCAAAGCATGACAATAATATGCGAAAACCTAGGCGATAACGGAATATCTCATCGTCTTACACGCTCTCTCTGCTCCGAATTTTAAGATTTTTCTCTGAGCAAGCAAAAGTCACTTGTTGAGCTTCCACCAGCTAGCATTGTGTAGGTCCACTTTCCGCAGCAGCCATCCACGAGCCATCCGTACTTGGAGAGAGAACCGTGAGAGTCCTTTATTTGAAAATAATAGCATTGTGGTTCAAGCGCGAGCAAACTACTATCGTCATGACGAAACACAATAATATCAACACAACTAACAGAATCGCACGGTCGTTAATGATTAGTGTTTTTCTAAGCTGTCTGATTGTGTCGTCTAATTGCCAAGTTGAGCGCGTTAATACGACGGTACCGGTCGGAGCCCTAAGTCACTTGAAAGTCGACAGCGGTGGAGATAAGATGTCACTCGAGGATTTCGATCAGTATCTGGGAAGGTAAGATTTGCTCTATTTTACAACGTAAACGTGATGATTTATGATGTGCGAAAAAAAAATGCAGTTACATTGGCGACGAGAGGGAGTTCGCCCTGGTCTTGGACTTTGATGGAACGCTGGCCGAGCTTACCTCCCATCCGAATCTCAGTGCCATGACACCGGAGATGAAGGAGACCCTGGAGAACATTGCCAACAGTGGAAGGGTGTTTGTGACGATTATTTCCGGCCGCGACGTTGATGGAGTCAAGGCAAAGGCCGGAATCAAAAATATCGTCTACTCGGGTAACCATGGGCTGGAGGTACTGTATCCGGATGGTACGAGGCAAAATCAAGGGATTTCCCAGGAGATGATCGATAATTTTGGAAATATGGTGGATGAACTGACGAAAGAGGTAAGAGCTGTTAGGTTGTCTATTTCACATTGTTACATTGTTAAGGCCTAACTTACGCTCATCTTTTGACCTTCAACAGGAATGCATTGAGTTTTAAATCAGAAGACTGTTGATTTTTCTAAATTTTATTTTAAATGTACTTAATGTTAGACAAATACGGTACCGAGTGCTATTTGTTCTCATTATTATCCATTGTGCCATTTTTTCAGCTCGCCCACGACGGAGCCTGGGTGGAGAACAAAAAGGTCTCGCTCACATTCCACTATCGGCAAGTGGATCCAAAGCTCGTGCCGGAAAAGGAAGCCAGAGCAAAGCAGATCATCGAATCGTATGGCTACCGGGCCAACCAAGCGCACTGCGCCGTAGAAGGCAAACCACCGATCAAGTGGAACAAAGGCCTAGCGGCGGAACTGATCCTAAAGTCGTGCTTCGATAGCAACTGGGAAACTCGGAAGGTGATCTTTGCCGGCGATGACACCACCGACGAGGACGTGATGCTCGCCATCAAGGGATTCGGAAGATCGTTCAGAGTGAGCAAGGATGAGAACGTACAAACCAATGCTGATTACAGGATTTCGTCGGTACAATCAGTGTATCACATGCTCAAGTGGATCGAACAGAAAGTGGCGGGTTAGTCTGGAGGAGGTGGCGAAGTGTGTAAATCATTATCATGTGTTTGTTTTTAAATGTGAAATTGTTAGGCTTGTTCCAGTAGATCTGTCGTATTGAAATAAATGATGATTTAGTTGTAGTTGAAGATTCATCACTTGATGGCATATTTGTTTCTGTGTAACATTTTTCGTAAATATAAACGGGTACAAGCTACTTTAAATTTTTGAGATAACTCTTATCTCATATTCGATGCCGCGACAGCTGTTATTCTGCTGTTTAACTTAGTGTGAACTTGAAAGTCGCTTATTTTACTGTTTTTTGGCTACCAAATAATCATTGTCAAAAAGTTGCATGGATGCAAACACAGCTGTTGATGTTGTTGAGTAAATCCACGCCAAATAGCGAAAAAATAAACGAATTTCAAATTTTACCTTTCAGAATTTCACAAACCATTACATAGTTGTTCGCTAGGGGCAATGAACTAGGTTTGTGCTGAAATTCGGCCATTTTGACTCACGCCTAATTTTCCACAATGGCGTATTCTATATTTTTTTTAATAAATCAGCTCGAAAACGGCTCATTTAATCAAAATTTAATAAGACAAAGTTGTTGGAAATTGAATTGGCTTTTCAGAAAAAAAAATACACTCTGAAAAAATATCACACATTTTTGTAAAAAAAATATCAAAAACTGTTAAAAACTTCAATAACTTAAGGAGTACAAACTTCAATAACTTAAGGAGCACATATTGGACACAATGTACACTATCAAACTGATCGTAGAGCATTAACTTTTAGTAAAATGTTTGAACTTTGTTTTCCATGCAATATTTATGTAATTTGTTTTTTGCATAAGATACAATACAACATAGGGGACTTTACGTATTCTCGGCAACCTAAGCAGTGTCCATCTTTCTATAGCCTTTTTCTCTTAGGAACACACATATGCAGTATTGGTTTGCTTACAATCGTTTGCTGCTAGCTGTTCTAACAATTTCAGTCGAAAGAATTGTCAAAAACTGTTTTGAAACGCTTTTACAAAGCTCCAATCTTTTCAAGTGAGAGCGACTATTGTGGGCAAAATCTTTTTATTCGGCATCCTCTCTACACAGACAAACAGACATAACACATTGAATATTTCTCATTGTAAAACATCGTCACTAAAACATTACCGCCATCTGTTGAGTACACTGTGGACAGATGGCGGTAGTGCGTAAACGTCAAACTCAAGGGAAATGACTATGGGCGCCACAGGTGGCGGTACTACCAACTACGATACTTTTAGATTGACCGTTAAATGCTTGTTCGATGAACAACTTGCGAGTGTTATGTCTGTTTGTCTGTGCTCTCTATTTGAGCTGCGTGTTAAACACCTGTGCTTACATCGGCAACTCGAAATCAGCAGCATTATGTAGTGCGTTTGTTTCATTTCAAGAAAACCCTGCTACACGCAGAAAAAAACTATCGTCGTAACAAAAATATTTGAGGTAAATTTAAACGTAAACTCAGTTTGTTCTGGCCACAAACATAAATTAGGTTGATTTCAAACGTATTCCATGTTTGAAGTCATGTGAAATCAATGTTTAAAATAAAAATAATGTTACGTTTATTTCAAAAATATTCGTGTTGAAAATAAACGTATTTATTTTTGTTTGGTTTGACAGCTATGCGAGCAATAATAAATATGTTTATTTTAAACATACTTTTCATGGAATACATATTTTGGAATTATTTTAGTACACACAAAGAAAAATCGTTTCTAAAATTAAAAAAACCATTGGTAGAATTGAAAGTTTGCATTGGTTCTTTTTGGTAGAAAGCGGTTAGCTTTCAAAGCGATAGTCAGCAAACTGTCAAATCAAAAGTTGCTCGCTAGCAACTTTTAAAAGTTAAAACTTTCAAAAAGAATTGTACTTCTGTCAAATTAAAAGCGTGACTGTGTTAAAATTAAAGGCGGAATATTGCTCATGTAAAACATATTTTTGACTTGAAAATATGGTATAGTTGAAATGACATATGTGTAATTTTTAATTTAAAATACAATATTTTCAAAAGCAAAATAAGCAATTTTCAAAATAATAAAATTTATTTACTTTTCATAAATATTACACAGTGTTTTTATAAGAAATAAATCGAGAAAACAATACAAAAAGATCCAAGAATATGTGTTATCGATGGTGATGCTTTCGTTTACATCTTGGCCTTGGTCTTGGAGCTGTCTTCACTTTGAGAGGAACCACAATGTTCAAGTGCGATAGCGATAGGCTCGGTGATAGGTGTATGGATAGGTACAGAAGAAGATGATCCAACAAATAACATCGTGATCGGTTCCTGGTCCATTTTCGTCTAACGTCAGATATTGAATCGGACCGTCCTTGGCGAGGAAAGTTTATAAAAATAAGTAACACACTTTGCATCTACTGTAAACAGTCGTTGATTACTCACTTGCATTCTGAGCCGTTTCATGCTACTTGCAGGGGTTGATGATTTCCAGCGTTCGCTTTTCATCTTCAGTGGGTTGAGTTGAATAATTTCGTTTAACCGAGGATCACGTTGCTTTCCTTGAGGAAATCGATGAGTTGTACTGATGGCATCGCTCTTCCCTTGGGTTCTGCAAAAATATCCAGAACATTATTCAATTGTATTCTCAAAATTCTACTTACAAACAAAAACTCACATCGATTGGAACAGCGCAACAATGTGTTTCCCGGGGAGATCTTTTGATTTGATAGTATTTTTTCCGTTTTACCTGAAATTAAATTATTAAACTCAAATTTTTATATGTTTTGTCATTTCATCTTACCTGTAGCAAATGTTTTCCGCGGAAGCTGCTATAATTACTTGTAAATGATGAATTGATTAAAGTTCCGTCCCAGTTTATTCTACCTCTTGGTCTGAGTGACATCGGTTCAAATTTAGCGGCAAAAGAAGGCACAGTGTTGCCAAAAACTTTGTTATGAATTGGTATTTTTGACAGTTTAACAACTTTTATTTCAAAAATATAAACTTTTAAAATTACAAGTCGAAAGTGAAAGAAAAACTTTTAAACAAACAAAATTACATTCATTTCGAATATTTTCGAAGTTAAAACTACGAAATTCAGGAAACTTTTAATTTGAAATTGCAATATTTTTATAAAAACCATTTCTATTTTTTGTGTGTAGTTGAGTGCAGGGTAAAGCAAAATAAAACGGTTTGCAAAGAAATGAAAACAAAAAATAGATCTTCGGGCAGGGCATCTTAATTCCTGCTCTTTTTCGGGTGTGATTAAGGGTGACCTGTGGGTATTGGGGTCCTGGTCCGGGATGCGAAGACCCGTCGGGGTGGGTGTCCGGGGGTTCCAGTTCAGTGGAACCGGTGCAAATTTGTGTTATTACCGTCGTTTTGCCCCGGTTTCTGCCACTGGTCCTCATACAGGTTTCTTTCCATGTTCGGTATCGGAGGAGGAACCGGAATGGATGGCCGTTTTCTGTTGAGGTTGAGCAAAGCTGGGGCAACTTTTTCCGAATGTAACAAGAAGGAACGCTAAAAACCGTTTACCCAAATCCTATATTGTTGAAATAAACATGCTTTTGAATTTAATTCAAACATAAATATTTTAGTTTTAAACATGCTTTCAATTTACTTTGAATAATTCATATGTTTAGAGTATAAACATTTATATTTTTGTTTTAAATGAACAAAATTTGTATCCGTGTAGATTGCTTTTTCTCAGTGGTAAAATATAATCAAATTGAAGCTGAAAGCCTAAATAATCGTTTGAATGCATTCAGCGAAGTGTTTTCGTAAGAAAATTCAGTGAAACTAGCGTTTCAATTTTGGTTGCCGAAAATAGTCTGTAATGCCCAGCGAATCCAAACACATAAAGCAACCAACGATACAGACAAAACGGTTGCTACGACTACCATGACAAACTCGCTCTGTAACAAAGCTCGATCCGAGTGGTAGAAGGATAATGATATATTGCTTGCCTGCTTTGTTGCAATATACACGGATGAGGACATAGCTTGATATGAATCGGGAAAAGACATAACAAAAAAATTCCCATTAACACACGTGTATCATCTTCGGCTTTACTTCGTGAAGCAGCTTGCCAACAATTTGCTCGTTTCCTTCTACCGCCCCGAATGAGTTGGGTCGCACGAGCTGCTTGTCATGAAAAAGAACGGTGAAGATTATATCATTATTGTTTTCCACTTCTGACATAGCGTTATTATTCGGTTCGTTGATCGCTTGTTATTTTGTCATTTGGAGATACTTTTGACTCCTTGGTAATGCCGAAGCAGTTTGAGAAAAAGAAGTTCAAAATTTTCCCTAAAGCACGCAGAACAGTAAACCTGGATAGCTACGCATTTGATAAAGATAACCTTGAAAAAAACCTGGCAACGCTGCTGACAGGTCTTTCCCATTAAAAAAAGCTTTGCTTATATTTACATCTTGCATTGGTAACACCCAATCAAGGGGGAGGAGGTAGCTGTCAAATACGAACAATCGTCGCCTACCTCGCATAACTGGTTCCAAACGTAAACAAGCCATAAGAAACCTAAAGGGTTTGTTTACGTTTGGAACCAATTTCATACAACAATGATCAGCAGGCTGATTTGACAGCACGTCCTTCCCCAGCACCAAACTAATCTTTCACAGCTTTTTAGCTGTCAGGTCAACTGCGAAACGTCTTATGGATCACCTTATAATTGGTCATTGGTATAGTTGGCTCATTTTAACTTAAAAAATCTAAACCCGTCAAAACAAATGAAGAATTTATCCTTTTTCGCCAAACAAAAACAGTATTTTCTATCACATTTTAAAGATTCATAATTCGTTAATACATTGAACAAGGAATGGAAAAAAATAGTTGCATGTAGTTTTTCAGCAATGTATAAATTTTTAACAGCTGGTTTGACATGATATACTGATATCAACATGAAGCTTCAGTGCGATAATTTATTAGCTAGAGAAAGTTCTGAAGAGAATAGGTTAATAATTTCACTAGAGTACGACAGTCATATTTAAATGAAATATACAACCCTGGGTAACCGACATTTGAGTAAAGTTCTAGCCATTCGCTATTCGGAGTGAAAATGCTCTTATTTTTATCGAATACACTCTTTAAATTGTTATGGGTGACACCCAGGATGGAGTGCCCGCCACGCCCCGCTAGACCATGCTGTTTAACTCGGTTTTCATGGAAAACAGTCTACTAGATCGTTTCCA